TCTCCTCCATTCTCCTCTCGGGATCTCGGGCACGCACACACACGCGCCCGGCGTGAGTTCAAGCCACTGTGGTCCCATGTCTATGATGATTTTAAAATAAAAATCATGATAGGGAAGAGGTCTTATCTTTCTTACAATAGCCAAAAATTAAACCATGGCAACATTTCAGTGTTTAAAGAAAGGTTCAAGGAGAGAAGAAGTGGCCAGCACAGGGAATACCTGTGAGAGAAAACAGCAGGTGAAGGAAGATGTAGACCCGGGAATAGTATCTTCACCCGTTAGCAGCAATAGCTATGGGGCAGGGACACTTTGGGCTCTGTTCTCTGTTCCTCTTTTTTTTTTTTTTTTGAGAAGTGTTTGTTATAGGGTGTGTGCACTCGCCAGAGAGACAGAGAGACAGAAAGTGAGAAATCACCCCCCGGGGGGATGGCCACACCGCAACCCCTTCTCCTCCATTCTCCTCTTGGAATCTTGGGCACACACGCACATGCGCCTTGCTTGAGTTTAAGCCACCGGGACTCCAACCGCAGTCAACTACATGGGAGTTCAGTGACATAGCCATTACACTAACTGCTGGTCCCTGTTCCTCTTATCTTGAGAAACCTTCCACCAGAGTGAAATCTGCCTCCCTGGGAAGAAGGAGGAATATGACCTGGGCCTCTTCTTTTTTTTTTTTTTTTTTTTTTTTTGGGGGGGTTTTTTTTTATTTATTTATTTTTGGAGAGGTTTTTTGCTATAGGGCACATGCACTCATCAGACAGACAGAGAGAGAGAGAGAGACAGAGAGACAGAAAGCCAGAAATCATCCCCCAGCGGGGATGGCCATGCCGCAATCCCTTCTCCTCCAGTCTTTTCTCAGGATCTTGGGCACGCACACACACGTGCCCGGCGTGAGTTTAAGCCACCAAATCCAATACTCGAACCACTGTCAACTACATGGGAGTTCAGCAACATAGCCATTACGCCAATTGCTGGTCCCAAACTGTGTCTCTTCTTAGAAAATGGGAGAAGAAACCTAAACGGTTGTTTGTGGAAAATACTTAAGATCCAAATATGCAACCTTGACAAAACAATATTATGCTCAAGTGACAGTTGTGGAAACACGATAGGAAACAGCTATTCTTGTTATCTGTGAGTTGACTTATTATATCAGCCAATAATTAAATGCAATTACATGTTGTTTGCACATAAAGCTTCAAATATCACATCTCTGGGGACCCCAAAATGTCAACCTATATTTGTTTCAGAATACAGTTGCTTAAATAACTGAAAATGACAAATCTTAGTAATAAAGTTGATCTTTCTCATAGATGAATATTTATTTATTAGAGACCATCTGCTGTGTGGAGAGTTCCCGAGTCATCACCATCTCAGTCTCTGTGAACAGCCAGGGTCACCACGTATGTTCAGTCTACATGTCTCCCTTGAGTAATCCTTACGATCTTGTTAGTAAATCTGACTTGTCTGTGAGATTGGGAATTTTCAAATCCAGCTCTCAATAAGCTGGTATATTTTCATAGTAAAACTGAAAAAGACAGGATATATGATCAATCTAAAACAAAAAATAATGGCCTGGAAGAACAAAAACTCCTGGGTCCTAGGGAAAATAAAAACGATTTGCTTGTCTTTAGCTAAAAATAGTTAAGGGAGTAGGTTGGAAAAAAAATTGTGTCTTGGCATCCCAACAATTACGCCCCTCTCCCAGGAATTCTGTGGGAATCTCTGACAAATCTGATGGAGAAAATTGCAGAACGTTTTTGGTTCAAGAATTATTTACATTGGGGCCAGCAGTTAGCATAATGGCTATGTCGTTGGACTCCCACGTAGTCGACTATGGTTCGAGTCCCAAACCCGGTTGCTTAAACTCACATCGGGCGCGTGTGCATGCATGCCCAAGATCCCGAGAAGAGAATTGGAGGAGAAGGGATTGCAGCATGGCCATCCCCCCTGGAGGTGTGATTTCTCACTTTCTGTCTCTGTGTCTCTCTCTGTCTTTCTGGCATGCACACGTGCCCTATAGCAAACACTACTCAAAAAAAAAAAAAAATTCCAGAATACAGTACTTTTTCACCAGCTCCCCTCCTACCACACTGGTCAGAGCT